GCTGCTTCAGCTGCTCAGACGCGCTGCGCTTGCTGCTCGAAACGCGCCGCGGGACTTTTTGCTGCGCCTTGACGCGCGTCAACCATTGACTTTGCACGTAAACTCGCTGCTTCTGTCGCGCCAGCTGCCCCCGGTGTGAACGCAGCATTAGACTTAGACAAACTTTATTGTCTCTCTGTATGCAACAAAACGACATTTTGTTGCATACAGCTTACAACAGTGTAAGGAGATTGCAGTTGGAATAAGATAAGATTACCAATATAAAGTATAGCAGTGATCAGACTAGTCCAGACGTCTATAAGCAGTAAATTATCAAGATATTTTTTTTGTATTTTTTTTTCTGTATTTTTTTTATACTCTAATAATCCCAGAGGGAAATTACTTCTCTGCATTTAACTCCTCCCCTTGGGGAGCAGTGGGCTGCAACTGTGCAGCGCCCGGGGAGCAGTGTCACTGCAAAAAATTGAAATCTAAAAAGGTCATTTTTTCTTGCAATAAGTGCATTTTTTTCTTGAATTGAGGAGGTAATATAGACACTTTGTCAATGGAACAAGACAATTTACATTTAAAATAAGAAAACACAATTGCACTGTCTTATTTCAAGTGAATATTATCTAATTATCTTATTTTAAGACTAAAAACACTCATTCAATTGGCAAATTATCTTATTTACCTAGTCAAAATAATGGTAAATACACTTAATTTATGACATTTTTTCTCATTTTTAGATGGTTTTTGCAGTGTGGGGTTAAGGGTCTTGCTCAGGGACTCGGAGTGGCAGTCTGTGGGAGTCGGGGATCGAACTCACAGCCTTAGGATTCAAAGCCCTAGGCCCTAATCACTAGGCCGCCACTTAGTGCATGTAGAAGAACTCTTATTATTCGACTGAATGGGCTTTAGATTACCACTAAAAACGCATCTGACTCATCTGGAAAACGCTGGAATGTTCTTTTTTTCCAGGTTCTGGACACTTAAATTGACACAGTTATAAAATATGTTGAAATCTGTCCATCTTTCTGGTAATTCTTTCATTTATTTTCCGGTCCGTCCATCCAGGTATTCCTCCAGTCTCTGGTTATTACAGACTTCATGTCTAAAGCTTAAAAAAAACTGCAGAAATTTCTATAAATGATTTTAGCGAAAGCTGTGGAAGTGTACTAGGTCCAGAGAAGCATTGCTGTTTCTGTGATGTGGTGAAAAAAGACTGATTGGGACCCGTCTCCACAGCGCCACCTAGCTCGCACCGCTGGGCGCTGGAAGGACACCCCAAAAAAGAACACGCTGAGCGAGCTGCAGGACGAGCTGATGAGCGTCAGGCTGCGAGAGGCCGAGGCCCAGGCTGAGCTCAGAGAGACGCGACAGAGGCTCCTAGAGATGGAGACTCAGGTAAGAGCTCACATCTTTCATCATCTCATCTTTTTCTACTTTGCTTTTCACTTTTTTCACTCTTATTTAGTCTTAATAATAACCTAGAGGCCGATTTTACTTTCAATACTGTTATTTTATTGTTTTCTCTGTTTTTTTTTTTTTCCCATTTCCGAATTTTTTAAATTTTTTTTAAAATTTTTTTTTTTTTTTTTTTTTTTCTGTTTTTTTTTTTTTCCCATTTCCGAATTTTTTAAATTTTTTTTAAAATTTTTTTTTTTTTTTTTTTTTTTCTGTTTTTTTTTTTTTCCCATTTCCGAATTTTTTAAATTTTTTTTAAAATTTT